ATGTGTATGTAGCACGAGACAGTACATTCTTACCATATAAAGACTCTTCCAAATTTCTCATGAATTATAAGCAATTGATAACTGAAATACTGCTATTAGTTTGCTTTTCTTGGAGGGGATATTAGCATTACAATAATTTTCAAATATCTATAGGCCCAGAGCAACCTTATTAGCCACACAAAATTTGTATTGGCCCTAACCACATTTATCATTCCTTTCCCACTATTGTTTTTCCTTCCATTGTTTCCAAACACCCCTCCCCAATCATTGAATTAGACTGAGAAAAGATGGCAGTCTACACACCGAAAAAATATACCTTACTATGAAAATTAGGAAAAATAGGAGAAAGAGGCAAAGACCTTGACTACATGACTCAATGCACATTTTTATAAATGCAGAAAAGGCATAAAGTGAATATTTGTACGTAGATCTACATGCAATGCATTAAATAATAGCTTCTGGTAAATATTACCACTGTCCATTTATCTGGATTAAAAGTACAAATATATCCTTTCTCATGCAAATACTGAAAGTAGTATGTTGGGATCTTCCTGTATCCTCAGTGTCTGGCATATTACTAGACACTTAAATGTTTATGGATTGATTAATTGATCAAGGCCAAATCATAGTAATATGATCCTGGAGGAATGTACAGGGTCCTGGGGGAAGGTGATAATCATTGAAGAGGAGGCACTACTTTGATTGTTTATAGGCTACTGTGAATATTTTATGTGTTTTCTGTATTTTCTGTGGGGTGAAGTTCAGGCTGTCCTGTATACCAGTGCTGTCAAACTCAAAAAAACAAAACAAAACAAAACCAGGGCCACATAAAGATCCCTAGAGTCCTCATATTGACTTAGAAAGTCACACATTACCATTATCTATGGTTTATTGTATTTTTATTTATTTTGTTAAATATTTCCCAATTACAATTTAATCTGATTCTAGTCTTATCTCAGGCTCACTGTTCAACACCTCTGCTAACTGGGCCTGGAGTCAGGAAGATCTGAGTTCAAATTTGGCCTCAGATACTTACTAACTATGTGACCCTGGGCAAGTCACTTAACTGCTATTTGCCTCAATTCCTCATCTGTAAAATGAGGACACACTGCAGAAGAAAATGGCAAACCACTTTAATATGTTTACCAAGAAAACCTCATGGACAAGCCCATAGGGTCATGAAGAGTCAGACATTCTTCAATTCAATGACTCAACAACAACAATAACAACAATGTGCAAAGAACTGTATTAAGTTCTGGAGAAACAAAGTCAAAGATAGTGACTGTGTGGAGTGACCAGTAGCCTAGTTCAGTTAGGTGCAGATTTTGTGGAAGAGAGTCCAACATATCCAATACTGTGTGTTTCTATATATCTATGGATGTATATAGATATATAGGTACACACGTATATGTATTCTAATATGTAGATTATAGGTATATATAATCCAAGATATGTTAATTTATTATTAATTTTTAATTTTTGTTATGAACATGACAAACCTCTGTGAACATAAATGTTTACACGTACAAAGAACATGTACAAATGGTACTGAATCTCCATTGCATACAGCTAACAATATCTCTCAAGTTATTTGACTTTCTTTATTTCTGTAAGAACTGTTGTATAATTGTATTCCTGTGTGTGCTTTGATAAATGGACTCCCGGATATATTCTACATTCTCTAATCATTTGAATGGACTTTCTTTATCTTTATCTCCTGGATTTTATTAGTACTACATACAGGAGGGCTAATGATTTTTGTGGACCTATTTTATATCCTATATTTTTACTGAAGTTTGTATCAATGAATTTTTAGTTAAATCTTTAGAATTCTCTAGGTAAACTCTTATTTGCAGAAAGTGATAATTCTGTTTTTTCTTTACATATGTTTATTCCCTCAATTTCTTTTTTCTTGTTTTATTGCTGTAGCTAGTATTTCTAGAACTGTATCCAATAATAGAGGTGACAATAGATATCTTTGCTTTACCCTTGATCTTATTGAAAAGGCTTCTAGCATTTCTCTATCACAGATGATGCTAGCTCTTAGTTTTAGATACTTAGATGTTTATCATATTAAAGGAAATCTATTCTTATGCTTTTTAAACATAAATGGTTCATATTTTTTAAATATTGATATAAAATCATGTGATTTTGTTAGTAATATGGTCTATTATGTTTATAGTTTTCATTAAATTTAAACAACTCCATATTCCTGGCATAAATTCCACTGGACAGAGTAAATAATCTGTTTTATATGTTGCTATAGGCTCTGTTAATATTTCATTCAACATTTTAGTATCATTATTCATTAGCTATTGGTCTTTGTACCATAGAAGCCATTTGATGTAATGCCTTTATTTTTGCCAACAATTTATATAGTATTGGAGTTGTTCTTTGAACGTTTGATATAATTTATCTACAAATAATATAGTGCTAGGGTTGGTTTTTTTTTTTTCCTTTGGGAGTTCCTTTATGTTTTGTTCAGGTTTTTTTTTCTTCTGAGATTGAGATTCTGAAATTTTCTATTTCTTCTTGTGTTAACCTGAGTACTTTACATTTGGGTAAATATTCATCTGTTTTATTTAAAGCATCAACATTGTTCACATAATTGGGCAAAATAATTTCTAATAATTTCCTTTATTTCCTTTTTATCAGTTTTGCATTCTCCTTGTCCATTTTTTATTTTGGCAATTTGATTTCCCTTCTTTTTGGAGGGCAAAATTATCTGATAGCCTGTCTATACATATATTTTAATTTTTAAGAGAAAAGACACATGGTTTTAATTATAGATTCAATGTTTTTTAAATTTTAATCTCTTTTATTTTTAGAATTTCTTTTTTGGATTTAGTGAGATTTACTAAAAAAAAGTTAAAAAAGCAAAAAAAGCTTTTATGTATTTATTAATTATTTATTAATATGTTCTTTTTGTCACTTTTGTTGATTAGTATTGATATGTTTGTCTAATCATTTTCTTTGATGAAATTTATTTTTTGCTTCTATGATTTGTTCTTTGACCCACATATTCTTCGGAATAATATTATTTACTCTCCATTTAAGTTGGAATATTTTTTCCAAATACTATTTAATAATTATAATTTTTATTATATGTTGGTTACTAAAGGATGAATTTAATATTTCTGAGTTTTTGCTTCTGTTTATGGTGGTTTTAATGCCATAGTGAGAAATATGTATACTTCTTTAATCTCCTTTAGCATTCACCAGGGATCTATCGTATTTAAATTTTCTATAATTCTATTCAGGTCCTAAACTTCTTTATTATTTGTCTAAGTCTAGATAGGTGCCTGGAGGCTTTCAATGGTTTTGTAGCCTATTGCTCTCCGTAATTAATTTTTCCTTTAAGTACTTCTATGCAATGCCATTAGGGATATATAACTTAAGAATTAATGTTATTTCATTTTCTAAGATGCCTTTAAAGCATAATGTAATTTTTTTTACTGTTTATCTCCTTTTACCATTATCTGTTTTCAGTGTTGCCTTTTCTGAGATCATGATTGCTACCTTTGCTTTTTTTAATTTACCTGAGGCCTAATGCATTCTCTTCTGACCCCTCATTTCAACTATGTTCCAAGTGTGTTTCTAGTAAATAACGCTATTGGGTTCTGCTTTCTTATCCAGTTCTGTTCCTCTCCTCTGTTTTATATGTGAGTTCACCTCATTCACATTCAGTTATGATTGTTAATTGTGTTTCCACTGAATTATATCCTCATACTTTTTCCTCTTTTTGCCTTCTATCCTCCTATTTACAGAGAAGAAAGTGATGAAAGGTAAGGAATAAGATCAACACTAATAATCTAGAATTTAAATGTTCTGATCCTACTTCTCTGACTCTCTTCTTTTCCTAACCCAAACCCTGTTCATTTGCTTTCTTTCTTTTCTTTTACTTACCACTTAATGACCCACCCTTTGAGACTGAAATTTGTTTTGCTTGTAACTAACCCTCCCCACCTTTCATTTTCCTTTATCACAGTCCCTTTCAATTTTTAACTGTTGAATTGAATGTATTTCTATGCCAAACTCTTTATCTTTGTGTGTGTGTGTGTGTGTGTGTGTGTGTATTTGTGTGGGAGGGAGGGCGGGTTATTTGTGGATGTGGGTATGTAAGTGTGTGTTCAACCCTCTGATGGTTCAGTGGCCTTGGCCCAGTCTCTGTCTCCTTTGCCTTTCACAATCTCCAATCAGAAGATGGATCCACCTCTTGTTGCCCTGACAGGCCCCAGTAGATGTTAAGAGTATGTGCTATTTTCAGTCATTACATCTGCCCCATGTTCTGCAATGGCTCCAACAAATCTGCCAAACCTTTTCTCTCTATATAGTACGTGACTTTGGGGTTCTGGCTCTTTTCCCTGATCTCACTCCAACAGGCCTGGGCCTGGCTCTTTCTGGCTTAAAGTCTCATTGATAGGATCTTACCAAGGTGGCTTCATGCCACCTTGGAGCATCCCCAGTCTGAGCTACCATAGGCTCCAGACCCCATTTCCCTGAGCCCACTTTGGCTTCTGCCTTTGGCACAGCCCTTCTTTAGGCACCAGCAGGCTCTGGCTACCTTCTTATAGAGCCCAAGACTAGATGGAAGAGTTCAGCACTGTTTGTCTTTGGTTTTTTTGATCATTATTCCATCTGGTACCCTTTTAGATCTTTGCTGAGGTTTTTATGGGAGAGCTAGTCATCTCTAGAACCTTTCATATTGCCATCTTAACCACAAGTCTTGTGGGTTGTTTTTAAACATTTAAGTTGACTTAGAGGGCCATAGCAGTTCAACTTAATAAATTCTTATGGACATGATGGTCTGTCCTGGAAATGAATATATCAATTGTAATGATGTCACTCAACGGAAAGCAGAATTTGAGTCCTTTCATGTATTTCATGGTGTTTTCTTGAGTTGTTAGGAATGTAACCAAAGGATAACTTTTTAGATTTCAATCTGAAATAAACTGCTGTGCAATCTTTTATCTAATGTCAATTCTCTATTCTCATTTTAGTTAACTCTCCAAATCACTCTTCAGTGCAACAGTGAGAAGCATTATGAGCATGAGGGAAGGTGCTGCACCAAATGTGATCCAGGTATATTATTCATTCATCCTCTCCTTTTCCCCAAAAGTAATTGCTTTTATCTGAGGAATTACTACATTATTTCTGTGCTATTCTAAAATCTCCCTTTCCTTGGATAAACAATACTACCATCAAGTTGCAATATCTGTAATTGTCCTCTTGATTAAACCACAGGAAGGCAAAATTAAAAAAAATTATTTATAGCTCTACAACCACCTCGAAAAAAAAGGAAAAGAAGTTTTTAGAATTCCTATACTTAATCCTTGCTGGAACCCAATTTTTAACAAAGTCTCTCAAGGAGGGAAGCAGGTTTATAACCCTTCTTATTTTCCCCTTAATACCCTCACAATTCAAATGCTCAAAGTGTAAAATAATAACAAATAGACATAGAACTGCTACTAGATACTGCTATCACCATGATATTTTCTTCCTTGGACATATTCACACTGGGATTGTCAACTACTTGGAATGCCTCTGAAGACTCTATACCTTCTTTCCATATCACTGCTGAGAGCCAAAATCTGTATCAGGTTACTACTTTTCAGAGTCATGTTGTTAGAAATGTGACTGTGAATTTTCATGTCGTGTATGCATTCCTAGATCAATGTCTGCTTCTCTCCTCCCTGCCATTCATTTGCACTGTCCAAATGTTCCATAGTCAGCCACTGTTGAGTGCATTTCATCTCCTAAAGACTAAATGAGATGCAAGATGTTGTGGTGGACTGAGTAAAATATTCACTGGGTAGAACCCAATAAGACTTGAGCTAACATACTTCCTCTGACACATGCCAGTTCTGTGATAATGGGCATACCTCTCATCATCTTAGTGTCCAAAAACTCTGGAAGTCTAGAAGTTAGAAATAAGAATGTATGATCATTGATGTAAGGAGTTTTCATATTGGAAATTCCTTCCACTAATAACACAGATCTGGACTCCCCAACCCCCCCAAAAAAAGATTAAATAAAAATGAGTAAAATTTGGGGTAGTCAATAAGATTTTTTAAATGCCCACTTTAGGAGAGACTGGTGATGGTCTAAAATTTTACCAAATTTTGTTGTGTGGCAGATAATGTTACCACAGGGTGCTAGTATGAAAGACTTTCTTCTTAACCTGAAAGAACTTGAGAATGGCTGAGATTACACTCAGAATGATGGGCTGAGACAGGAATCAGCTGTTCAGTGATACACGAATGCAGCTTCACCATTACACAGTCTAGGTGTCATATCCACCAGTTACCGTCTCTTGTCAAGTGTGTCTTAGTTCTACTGTCAGGTTGTTCTAACTAATTAAAAATAATCCTTATCTGGCTTGAAGAAAAACCTTTCCTGGGATGCAGCTTGGGGCTTTGTTGATAATCTCATGGGTTTTAGATTTTTTTTTCTTTTTAAGGAAAGTATATGTCTGCGAAATGCACTGCCACCTCTGAAAGCATATGTTTACCTTGTGGCCCAGATGAATACTTACATACCTGGAATGAAGAAGATAAGTGTTTGCTGCAAAAAGTCTGTGATAGTGGTGAGTCGATCTGCACATCCTATGAAGTGCAACATTCAGTTTTTACCCCCAAAGTGATCTTTTCAGGACATATTTTATTCCTAGAATCTATCAGAATAATTTCTTTCACATGTTGGTAGATGTGTTGCTAATCTTGTTAGCATTAATGAATTGTTCCTGTGGGTGACCAGAGATCTCATTTGGAGTCACCATCAGAAAACTACATTGCATTTGTTTCTTGTGATGGGAAAATTTAGTCCTGGAAATTTAGCTTAGATTTACTGACATTGATTTTGAAAAGATATTTATGTTTCCACCTATCTCCCAGTTTCTTTTAAAGGGTTAAAGACTATTAAAAACTAAAACATCCAACACTATGTGATTACCTTGGTAGATGCAGAAAAAGCTTTTGACAAAGTTCAATATTCATTTATGCTAAAAATCTCTACAAAATAAAGGCATAAATGAATTTTTTTAACATCAAAAAATTATCTCTCTAAAGAGTTAGAGAGAGCTTATAGGTTTTGGCTGAGAAAATATGAATATGGAAACTTCACCTCGTGTGAAAGCACCTGATTTAATTTTTTTTTATTCCTCACTGTCTAGTAATGAGCCTGACTCATTGCCATCTTCTGGAAAATAAAGATTCATTCAATTCATCACCAAAATTAATTGAAACAAATCATAATCATAGCTAGCATTTGTACAGTACTTTATAGTTTGCAAACATAATTACAAATACCAAGATAATTCACCACTAGTTCACTTCAACAAACGTTTGATGAAAGCTCCTAAGAGGCAGGAAATGTTATATTTTGTCTTTGTATCTTAAACCTTTATCAAAGTACTAGGCACATCAGCATTTAATAAATGCTACAGAGTGCTGTGCCATGCCTTGGGGGAAATATAAATTTTATGTGACACACAGCCCCTGCTCTCATGGAATTACAATCTAGTAGGGTCTTATGACATAAATACAGATACACAATTGCACGTGATAAATGCATTAGAGAAAAGCAAAACAAAATTCTATTTAAGGTCCTGCAAGATCAAGGGAATTCACAGAGGAGATCAGGGTAAGATTCAGGGAGAAGGTGGCACTTGTCTTGGGCTTTAAAGGATAGGTGGGAATTCAGCAGCTAAAAGTTAGTGGGAGGGAGAACATTCTAGATACTGGGTACAGAGTGAGCAAAGGCAAAAAGGTGGGAAATAACAAGGCATATTTGAGGGACAGAGAGCACTCCAGTTTGAGAGAATAGTAATATGAGAGTAGGCTGGAAAGGTAGAGTAGTGCCAGATTGTAGAGGGCTTTGAATGTCAGGGGAAAGAGTTTGACCTGTACTTAGTAGGAAACGGAAACCCTGAAGATTTGGAACAGAGAGTAACATGACCAGATCTATATATGTTAGGAAATCTATTTTGACAGTAGAAAGAGGATTGACTGGAAAGTAGAGATGGGAAGACCTGTTGTTATGCTATTGCAATAAATCAGGCCAGTGATAATCAGGGCTTGAATTAAGGTAATAGCTCTGATATAAGTTTTGTATTTCCAGAGATGGTAAGGTCTAAGTGTGAGCACAGTTGAAATTAACAGTATTTGATGAAAGAGTCACAGATAATACCAGTGTTTTGAGAATGCTGGTGTAACAGATCAAAATAATGGAGTCAGAAGGATAAGGAAGGAAGGAAACAGGCATTTATCAAGTGCTTACTCTGTGCCAGGTACTGTATGAAGCTCTTTAGTAATATTATCTCATTTGATACCCACAACAACCATGACAGGTAGATACTATTATAGTCCTCATTTTACAAATGAGGAACCTGAGAGAATAAAGGTTAAATGACTTGCCCTGGATCACACAGCTAGTAAGTGAGGCTGGATTTGAACTCATGTCTTTCTGACTCTAAGTCCAACACTTTATTGACTGTTCCATGTGGCTGCCTCTGAGAGGCAAATTTGGGAAGGAATATAAGCTTACTTTTTCTTTTAACAAGACAAAGTTTAAATATTCAAGAGACATTCAAGAGGAAAAGTCCTTTAGGGTACTTGGAGATATAAGTTGGAACTGAACCAGATAACACTATGATGATGTTTGGGCAGAGAATTGAATGGGACAGTGTTGACAGTCAGGAATTGAAGAATACTATGTAGTGATGGTAGCCCTGATTTGAGAAATGATACTGATGTTAGCCTGCATGGTCTATATAAGTAAACAAGTTAACAATGTGACATGGCCATCAAAAACACTTACACAAAACTTAGACTGCATTAAAAAAAACATAATGTCTAGGAATAAGTAAGTAAACAAAAATGCCCTCTGCCTTCTGCCCTTTGCCCTGGGAAGACCATAGCTGGAGCCATTGTTTGGCTCTGGATCCATGTTGTTGAAAGGACATTGATTAGCTGGAGAGCATCCAGCAAAGGGCCACCACGGTAAAGCAAAGTTATATGATCAAATCTTTTGAGAATTCTTTGAAGGAAATGGGATGTTTAGCCTGAAGAAGAGAAGACTGAGGACAGACATGATAGTTTTCTTCAAGTATTTGAAGGCCTTCCTATGGAAGGATATGAATTAGTCTGCTTGATGCAACAAGAAAGAGCTAAAAGTAATGGGTAAAATTTTCAAGCAAGTTAATTTAAGTTTTGATAAAAGAAAAAGAAACTCTAATAATTAGAGCTAGGTTTCCCCTGAAGGTGTTCAGGCAAAGACTAGATGACCATTTGTCCAGTGTGTTGAAGGGGGCATTCTTGTTCAAGTATAGGTTGGACCACATCATAAATCATACATTTTTTTTTAAGTTGAAAGGATCTTATAGGTTATCTAGTCCAGCCTCCTCATTTTACAGATGAGGTAAAGTGACTAGGTCCACTAGAAGATTATGTTATAATACCTCAACTGGGCCCTCACTGCTGCTAGGTAATTTTACTAAACCTCCCTTATTAACTCACTATCCCACTTTCCAGAAGCTCTTCCAAACCTTTTCATCCCTCCTCAAATCTCTGATAGCTCCTCCTCCCCCCACCCTCTAAGCTGAGGACCTTGCCTCATATTTCACAGAAAAATTGAGACCATTCACCATGAACTCCCTCTTCTCCCCTCTACCTCATCTCCTATCACTCAGAAACCTTCTGCCATTATCTCCTCCTTCACCCCTGTCTCAAATGCTCGTACTCCTTACCAATGCTAACCTCTCTACCTGCCCAAATGATCTCATTCTATCCCATATCCTCCAGCAGTTTGTCCCCTCTGTCATCCCCACTCTTTCACTTGTTTCCAATCTCTTCCTCTCCACTGTCTCATTTTCTACTGCCTGCCCATGTTTCCCCCATCCTGAAAAAAACCCTTACTTGATCCTTCCATCCCTGCTAATTATCATCCTATTTCTGTTTGGTCCTTTGTAGCTAAACTCCTTGTAAAAGGCTGTCTACAATAAGTGCCTCCACTTTCTCTCCTCTCACTCTCTTCTTAACCCCTTATAATCTGGCTTCCAACCTCATCATTCCACCAAAATTCCTTATCATTCTTCCAAAGTTACTGACGATCTCTTAGTTGCTAAATCCAATGGTCTGTTCTCAAATGTTATTCTCCTTGACCTCTCTGTAGCCTCTGACACTGTTGATCACTCTCTTCTCCCTGACACTTTCTTCTTTCCAGATTTTCAGACATCACTCTTTTCTGATTTTCCTCCCACCTGTCTGACCACTCCTTTGTTTCCACTGGATCCTCCTCCAGATGACATCCTTTAACTATAGGTGTCACTTAGGTTTCTGTCCTGGGCTTTCTTCTTTTCTCTCTCTATTCTACTTCACATGGTGATCTTATCAGATCCCATGAATTTAATTAATTACTATGTTGATGATTTTCAAATCTACCTTTCCTGCCCCAATCTCTCTGCTTATCTCCAATTTCACATCTCCAACTGCCTTTCAGACACCTTGAACTGAATGTCCAGTAGACACCTTAAAGTCGATATGTCCAAAATAGAACTCATTATCTTTCCCCATGAACCCTCTTCCTTCCTTTCTATTTAACTTACGGTCAAAGTGTTTTTGTTTTTTTTTTAAAGGCAATTGGGGTTAAGTGACTTGCCCAGGGTCTTACAGCTAGTAAGTGTCAAGTGTTTGGTCTGAGGTCGAATTTGAACTCAGGTCCTCCCAACTCCAGGGCTGGTGCTCTATCCACTGTGCCACCTAGCTGCCCCACTTCTACCTAACTTATTCACTGTAGAGGGCAACACTATCTTCCCATTCCCTCAGACTCACAGCCTAGGAGTCATTCTGGACTCCTCCCTACCTCTCACTCCCTATATCCTATATGTTGTCAGGACCTGTCAGTTTCACCTTTGCAGCATCTCTCAAATACACCCCCTTCTCTCCTCTGACACTGCTGCCACCTTGGTTCAAGCCCTCATCACATCATACCTGGACTACTGCAATAGATGCTAGTGGGTCTGCCTGCCTAAAGTCTTTCCCCACTCCAATTCATCCTCCATTCAGCCTCACTTAATCACTACAGTGATTTTCCTAAAACACAGTTCCAGTCATGTCACCCACACACTCAATAAACTCCAGTGGCCTCCAGGAACAAATACAAAATGTTCTTCTTGGCATTCAAAGTCCTTCAAAACCTAGCCCCCTCCTACTTTTCCAGTCTTCTTACTCCTTACTACCCAACATGCACTCTTCCATCCAGTGACATTGGCCTGTAGGCTGTTCCATGAAAAAGACATTCCATCTCTCTGACTCTGGGCATTTTCTCTGGCTGTTCCCTTGCCTGGAACACTCTCCCTCCTCCACTCTGACTACCGGCCTCCCTGGCTTCCTTTAGGTCCCAACTAAATTCCTACTTTCTACAGAAAGCAATCCCTAACCCCTCTTAATTCCAGTGCTTCCTGTCTTTTAATTATTTCCTATTTATCCTGCTTTGTCTATAATTGTTCACATGTTGTTTTACCCCATTAGATTGTAAGCTCCTTGGAGAGAAGGATTATCTTTTATCTCTTTTTGTATCCCCAGCACT